GCGGCGAGCCCCGGCCGCCCATCACGTGCTCGGTGTGTTGCATTGTGTTTGCGGCGGAGGGAGGGCTGGCCGTGTCAGTGATCAATGTCATGACTTCCTCCTCGGGCTGGAGCAGTATCAGAGCACAGCTGAAGGAAGCTGATTACTGCTGGTTTCAAATTGGCTGGGAACAATACACACACACACGCACACACGCACACGCAGGGGCACACGCAGGCACACACGCACACGCAGCCCGCACCCTGGCTCCCGCGTCGCCGCTCCGCGCCGGGGGGGGAAGATGAGCTCAGGGGACGTGGTTTGCACTGGATGGCTCATTAAATCACCCCCCGAGAAGAAACTCAAGAGATACGTAAGTGCAGAGGCTCTGCCGATATTTTTTTTTCTCGCTAAACGGATTTCGGCATGTGCTCGGTGTCTTACTCTTCCTTTGAAATGTCTCGCCTGCTTCGGCTTCGCCTCGGACCAAAACAAAAAGATTTGCAAGTCCATGCGCTTGTGGAGTGTTTTAGCTTTCACCGATATTCTTGTGCCCTTTGGAATTAACCTTTCCCGGCTCGTAAGATTATAATACTTCGGTTGTTATGCAACATATCTTAGCTTAAAAACCACATTTCGGTTTCAGTTAATGTTGCCGTAACTAACAGAATTGTTGTAACAGAATTTCAGATGTCACTTTTCCAGGGAAGGGCAAGAACCTCCTGAGAAAAAAAAAGAAACAACTAATGCTTTAAATTCTAAGGCTCTGCTTTGTTAAGATGCTCTGTAATTTCTATGACACTTGCTAAAGGCAACATCTGCAATAGTTTTATTTACCAATTTAATACGCCGGATGCCATTGCTAGCAGAAAGCTTTACTTTTTGTCTGTGATAAGGAGGTGCTAGAAGATGCCATGCTGTAAAGTTCCTGATAGCTGGAAGGTGAAGGGGGCTGGCGAGAAGAAGCGAGCACTGCATGCATGGAGAGCTGCAACTGCATTATGTGTAAGGGGGCCCCTTGTTTCGTTCTGTATCTGCCTGCCTGTTTTTCCGAAAAAAAAAAAAAAAAAAAAGAAGGGTGTGTGTTGCAAACATAGGAAACTGTATCTTTGCAGGGCTGCGAGGAAGGCACTCCGGGGAGAAAGAAATGACCCTTAAAAAATTGCTTGGGACAGCATTAAAAATGTAATCCCATCGTGGGCCATTTTGCATACTCATTTGTGATGGTTCTTCATCAGGCATGTTGTTACTGTTGTTACACTTTTGGAATTGGTAATACTCATTTGAGTCACGCACTTCTAACCTAACTTACCCCAGAGCACTGCGCTGTACGAGGAGGATGCCACCATATGGGTCTGTCACACTCCCGAGCCATATACACAGCTTACATCATTTGTCGTATTCACTTCTGGTTATCAGCATTTTTTCTGGACTGCTGATGTTAGCTTTCTCTAGTAATATGAGGAATAACTGTCTCGTGAAGAATGTGGTAGATATCATTTGGTAGTGTCTTTTTTTCTTTGCACTAAAAACTAGGAGAAAGGATAATTTACTGATGTTAGAATTTACTTTTAACTTATTCTAAGCCAGTGTTTCTTCTTTTAGATCACAGTATTGCATTGACATGGCTGAATATTTGCTTTGTTCAGTTAGCATTTTCCAATTCTAAAATAACCACTATGATGTGTCTCAAGGGAGCTGCAAATAAAATATGGGTATATCTAATTTTTGTTATATTTTGTAACGAGTGTACTAATAGCACTGTATAGCAGGCACTAGACAATGTAAGAGCCACTGATTCACCCAGCTGGTATCATTAGTAACTCTGACAGTGAAGCTATTTTTGATGACTCAATATTCATAAAAGGGCAAAGTAGAGAAAACAATGTGATAAAGCTGGGATTTGAAAGCCCCCATTATACAGCCAAGATAATAGTCACAACAGGGGCTCTGATCAGCTCACAAGACTAGTTGCAGTCTGCTCTGCTCAGATTTTGCACTACAAAACCTAGGGAAATTGGGTCTATGTTATTCTTCAAATGTCAACCACTAGATTAGCCAGATCTTTGCAGATTAGGCTTTGTTTTCTAGTTAGGAGGATAAACTACTCCTTTGTCCATAATAAAGCAGAAAGAAATCTGCTGTAAGTACAGCAAAGATTAATGTCCTTTTTCGTGTGACTGGTTACACAGTGGATGCTACAAACCAAATGGAAATTGTCTCTTACCCGCTGTAAACTATTTTTTTCCCCACTTTTTACATAGTTTCACCAGCATAGTAGCTTGTGCATCTTGCACTGGGGTGGCAGATAGCTCAGGCTGAACCACAGTGACTGCTTAAAAACAACACAAGCTTTAAAACAATGACTGTTTAAACTGACTTCAGTAGGTGTCAAGTGTCAACCGCTTCCAGGAGAATGGTGTTGGCTCTGGTTCTGAACTGACAACATACAGAAATTCCCAAGCTTTACACCCCGCGTTGTGTTCAGCTGGCAAAACCCATGGTCTGGGCTGAAGCTTCCAGGGGGCTTCCAATGCAGGTTTGGTCCGCTGCTCCTTGGGACCTCTCTTACACTGGAGCGACTCGGTTGCTCGCACAGGGCTGTCTCCCAGTTTACATTTTCCCGAGTTCAGCATCCGGCCTTTGTAAGGTCCGGCCTGAGCGTCTCGTGTTTTACACACGGATAAATTCTTAATCCTCAATCTATTACAATCACTAATAAAATCCAATTCATTTCAGTGGAATCTGTAGTTAAGAGACCAGACAAGGTGATGAATTCAGGTTGTGAGACTGGGAACTGCAGATAGTCCCACTGAAGCCACTGAGAATATTTATGGTGTTTATAAAATTAAACAAATCCATCTTTGCGAAATTGGAGCCTAAAGACCAAAGTATACCTTCATTTATGCTTGCTCTCTGATGAAAGCAATTAGGTTTGCTATGCATAAACAAGTCAGAATTTGGCTCTAGGTAAGCAGAACGTTATTTTCAAAAGTTTGAAAAGCGAAAAGCAGGTGTTAAGAGTCTATATTTTTCCTGTAATGTCTTACAAAGCTGATGCTCTTAGTAGCACTATTCTTAGAAGTGTCTTATCATTCCCTAACAAAGGCTGCTCTCTTACAAGTGCAGGAAACGAACATGAGATTAATTACCCAAGTGTAACTTTCTGTAAAAACAGAGAGCTTAATGCTAAATGCAGAGAATTCATTAGAAAGCACGGGGAGCTTCACTTCAGCAGGCAAATACTCTAATAGCGGCTTAGTAGGATGTACAATGCTTTTCCCTCTGTCTGATACTTGAACCATGAATCCACCACGTCAGCCTATCTAAAGAGGCAGTTGTGCAAGGAGTCTCCCGGGAGAGCATTTGGTGTGTGTTGCAGTTCTTTGTCCCCTAAGTGTGACCTGAAAGCTGTGCTGCTCTCATTTCCCCACTTGGTTCCAGCTTTTCTCACCGGTCGGGGCTGTGTGGGTCTGAGGGGGGCCGGGGAACCCCGAAGCTGTGGGGGAGCTGGGCATGGGGCAGGGGCGAGAGAGGAAGAAGCTGCTACCAAAAACTAGGAAGTGGTGGTGGTGGAGGTGAAGTCCATCATGCTCTAGACCAAAAATACTAAGTTTCAGGCAGAGCTTGACACTCAGCCCCAGGGGAGGAAAACCTGGCCCCACTGGAGATTTTTGGTATTGATATTAGTGGATCATGAGTAGCAGCCTCTGTAGGAAATTAGATGTCATGGGAGAATCTGCTCCAGGTCTGATGGGTTTCACAGTGCCTTATATTAGTGCTGAATACATCCAACCAGGGATTTCAATAAGGCATTCAGAGCCGCAAGGGAAAAGAGTGTTTATGTTTGTTAAAAAAAAAAGTAAAAATTCAGAAAGCTCCAGGTGATGTTGTTCACGTATCCCAATTCTGTAATGTCCGCCTTGAACAGCCGTCTTTTTGATACTTTTCATATGGAAAATGGCTCACTGACTGGTAATATTTATTTTCTGTTTATTGGAGAGGGGAGAGAACGGTTTCATGGCCTAGAAAACGAAGGAATTACTACAGCCAGTGCAAAAAGTCACTATAAGGGGAAAAAAGACATGGAAGAAGGCACAGAGGATGTCTAATGGAATAAGAGACTAGTGCCATTGAGACGACACATTGTTCATGTGCTGATAAGGAGAAGGAGATAGGATTTTTAACAGGCAGCTAATTTCAACCTGTCCTCGAACCGCTGTCCTGTAGTTTGTCACACCTGTGAGGAGCAGCAGCAGTAGTAGCCAGCCTGCCCGCCAGCGCGGGTGAATGCCACGCCAGTATTTACTTACTGTTAGCGTTAAGTTACGTGGTTTGCAATAGTAAAGGGCTATATATACAGATGCTTGCTTGTTGTGAGTCAGTGCAGCTCCATTTAAGTCAATGCTGCACAGCTGTACCCCAGCTGAAGAGCTATTTTTAACCTTCAGTACTATACAAATTGATGAGGGAAGACCACTTGCTCAAAAAAAAGAAAGTTTCCCACTGTACTTGAGTGACTGGTTTCTTCAAACATTATTGAAAATCAAAATTCCTTGTCAGCATCTCCAGAACAAGAGTCCAAAATGGACCCCGTGTTAGAAAATTTAGCCTTGCACTTCTTACCACACTTCTTCTTGGAGTGTCTGGTCTGGGAAGACAAACAGAGGTGTAAATTAATGTACCAGATGCAAAAAGCTAGTAAAGCAGTGTCCGTTCCCGCTGTCTCTGGGCGAGGGGCAGTGAGTGCCGTCAGAAGGCCACAGCAGCAAGTAGCTGCAGACGGACGTCTCTGACTGTTGGGATCTGCCAGAACTCGACCACAGCACACCGTTGCTAGGGTTTTACAAGATAAGAGAATCTAGACGACTTCTCCATTTTTAGCTGAAGTTCTGGTATTTATCAGGAGAACAAATGGGAAGTTACTGGCCACTAAGAAGAAAAAGTAAAGTAGAATTATGGAAGAGCGTGCTCAAGGAAGAGGAACAAGAGTCCCACAGCTCTGCTAAGGGTGGGTGGGATGTAGAGCGTCTGCTCTCTGATATAGCGTTGGGCTGGTGTCAGCAGAGGACACTGCCACCCTCGCCTAAAAGAAATCCCCAAGTGCTGTGTGAGGTCAAGTACTTCTCTGCTGGTTTGGGATTTGGGGGAAGTTTCTGAAAAATAACTATCAAAGAGAAATTTGAACTTAATTTTTGTCCATAAGCCTTTTTATTTCCAAATGCTTCCTACGAAGGCTCACCTCTTGAGCTCTGTCCCCTCTGAATAGAGAGTTACGGCCACCTTTCATACCCTGCTGGTATCAGCATCCTGAACTCTCATTGAAATAACTGAGTTTATTTAACGAATTTGTGCAGGTTCTGTAACTCTAGT